ATGCACAAGCTAAATATTTACTGTTAAAGTAAAGTTAAGTACTTCTTTACCCAGAATCCTCTCCTCATTCATATGTTTGTGTGATGAAGCTAAACCAAAATGTTAAAAAAAAATGTGAATAAATAAATAAGAATAGATTCATAAGTGTAACACAGTCAATACAAATGTGTAGAGCTACAAACTGTGAGTAGATTTATTGACAGAAAAATAATTGGAAACTACTTTTATATTCGTTTAATGTTTTAAGATTTTTTTTTATTGTCAGTAATTAACTGATTCCACCTTCTTTTCTGAAAAACTGAATATCATTAATGGTTGGCATTTTTTCACTATTGTCTGCCAGGTTATAGATTAGTTGAGAAAACATTGTAATTTTAGTTTTTTGTTTATGTTAAAGCTTGAGGAGTCTTGGAAGAGGAGATGTTCATGTTCTTCTCTGCATGCACCTCCGGGTGCATCAGAAGGAAATGATCACTAATTGGAGTGAAGGGATTGGGTAAACCTTGCATGAAATTGCCCTCAGAGACCCATTGTTGAGTGTTTGTTTCTCTGCAGCTCCACCCCAGCGGCCAGCCTGCTGACTTCAGAGAGTGCTCACTCAACTATGAAGTCTGTGGTGTCGCAAAGTGGAGTGAGGGAGTGTTTGTGCGTGTGAGGAAAATAATGTATGGCTGCCTGCGTCTGGGAGTGACAGTGGAAGAGATAACGGGCAAATTTATTGAAGTATTTATTTTTCTTCTGAGGCAGCTTGCATGTTTGCTTTAGAGAGGGAAAGTGAAGGGAGAAAGGAAAGGGGAGGTGGATGAATGTAGGGTAAAAGGGGGTGTTCTGTGTAGGGCGGAGCAAGGAGGGTGAGAGGAGGCTGACTGGGGTTTTAGGGGGGTGTGTGTGTGTGTGTGTGTGTGTGTGTGTGTGGGGTTGAGAGACAAAGACGGGGGGAGGTGTGTATTGAGGGTCTTGGATTGGACTGTAATCCTTTAGTCCTGGTTGGAAATAACCCTGCACAGTCCGGGACAAACAATATGACAGGGACACACACATTCACACACACAAACACACACACACGCAACATATTGTTTCGCTCACACACTGTGAGGCGAGACTGGCTTTGGCTGATGTTACTTCATCATGACAAAATGTCCTCGGCAGAAACTGGCTGATTTACTGCGAGAGAAGGTTGGTTCTTTCTGTAAAGTAGAGATTACACTTAATGCATCAGATTTGTGTGTGTGTTTGTGTGTGTGTGTAGGAGAGAGAGAGAGAGATGTTTTTGTGTGATGTGCATATGTCCGGGAAGGGGTCAGTGTGTGTGTCTTTTGCACTCTGCAAGAATAATGATACTCGGTTCTTGTAACATAAATACGTAACATTACTGTAAAAATGCACTGTCATTGGTAGGATTTCTCTAGTTTAATGAGAGTATACAAATTAAATCTGCAACACCTCCTTCCTCCTCCTCTTCTTCTGTTGGATGCCGTGTAGCAGATGGCACACATTCAGACTGGTTGTCATAGATGAATAGCTCACTTTTGGAAAGTTTACAACTATGATCTCACTTTGCCTTCTCCTATCCAAACACAACAAATGCATAAAATGTTCAATCTGGTTGCACTAAAATCGCATGTTACTCACATTGCTGTCACAATGGGAAAAAGTACTACAGACAAAGATTTAGAGTTGTATGATCCTCATACTTTCCACCAAGCATGTGTATACATAATGGTAAATGACAATATTTTATTTCTTTGTGTAATTCTACTAAAATCCATTTATGCTGACCTAATGGGGGAATCTTGTGATTAACCTGAACCTGAGCCAGGTTCAGGTGGAGTAAGTAGTTGAGTAAATAGTTCTCTACTTTATCACTGTCATTGTACAAAACCTGCCAAAAATAGGAACATGTATCTCAAATCGCTCATTCACTCATTCATTACTCCCAATATAAAAGGCACTCAGAAAAGGCTCAGTGTCCATGGCATTTACACGTCTTTATTCATTCTGTTGCGAATATTTTGTAGGGGCACTATACAGAGCATAATTTTCACTCTGAGAGAGAGGGACACTTAAAAAAAAAACTGGCATTGACAATACAATTAGTCTGTTATGTAGTAAACAGGGCTTTGCACTTAATTGGGACTAAATATTTATTTTCTCTTTCGTTCTCTTCTGCGTCTTGCTCCATTGCTTACTGCTTGTTCCTGTAACAGGAGTGAGGGAGGTGTTAGTTAAGGCAGGTGTCCGTCTACAGCAAAACAGAGTGGTGCTCTGGGACTCTGCATGTGTTGCAGTCTCATCTGCCCACATCTGAACAGTCTCTCTCTGTCATAGCTCTTCTAAACTCTTCACATACCTAATATAGCATTAGTATACCTGCCAAACATCGTGATCTATCAAAGACACAAATGATTTTGAAGATAATCCTCTCATCACATATTGGAAAAGAAGTGCTTATTATAGCCATATTTAAAGATGGCAGTGAGTGAAAAGTGCACTGACAACTGTGGCCTTAACAGGGAATAAAATTTGCCTCATCACTGTTAGCTAACATGGAGAAAAACAACATGAGGCAGAGCCAATACCTCTTCTCTCTGTTGTCATTTGGTGGAGCACAGAGCACCTGCTGCCAGCCTGGCTTTACTCAGCGTCTGCCAACACCGGCATATGGCAAACACACACTCACATACACACGCACGCATGCACGTACGCGGTCACTATTTCTGGATCAGGGGTGTTTGAATGTGGCATGCGACTCATATTGTCTGAATGTCACATCTTTATGCATGAATGCACTGTATTTACACACACACAGACATGGTTACACTTACACACATATACTTGCGAATATACAATGACACACAGCTACATACGCATACACACTCAAACACAGGCACATAGAGACAGAGAGATAACAGCTGTCTTCTGTCTACATTCACAAACATTCACATCCTGGGTTGTCATTGTACAGTGCATTCAGAGCGTGATCAGACTTCAACCGTCACTTTTTTTCACATTTTGTTATGTTGCAGCCTGATGCTAAACTTATATATACAATATTTTTGCAAAGTTATTAAAATAAAGAAAAACTGAAATATCACATTGACATATAAACATTGAGACCCTTTACTCAGAACTTAGTTGAAGCACCTTTGACAGCGATTACAGCCTCGAGTCTTTTTGGGTATGACGAGCTTTGGACATCTGGATGTGGGGATCTTTTGGGGATTCCTCTCTGCAGATCCTCTCAGGCTCTGTCTGGTGGGATGAAGAGCATTGGTGGACAGTCATTTTCAGATGAGATGTTCGATTGGGTTCACATCAGGGCTTTGGTTGGCCCACGCAAAGACATTTTTGCCCTTGTGCTAAGGATCATTGTCCTGTTAGAGAGTGAAGCTTCAGCCAGGTGCTCTGGACCAGGTTTTCATCATGGATATCTCTGTACTTTGAATCAGCTTTCCTTCAGCCCTGACCAGTCTCTATTTACCTTCCCACAGCATCCAAAACATCCCCACAGCACGATGCTGCCACCACCAGGCTTCACTGTTGGGATGGTATTGGGCAGGTGATGAGTGGTGCCTGGTTTCCTCCTGACATGATGCTTAAAATTGAGGCCAAACACTTCAGTCTTGGTTTCATCACACCACAGAATCTTGTTTCTCGGGACGCAGGACCTCTGGATGGTGTTCCAAATTTCTTCCATTGAGGAATTATGGAGGCCACTGTGCTTTTTTTTTTTTTCATAGCCTCCCCCAGATCTGTGCCTCGACACAATCCTGTCTCTGAGCTCTGCAGGCAGCTCGTTCACCTCATGGCTCGGTTTTTGCTCTGATATGAATTGTCAGCTGCGAGACCTTAGGTGTGTGCCAAATGACAAAAACACGCATGTCAATGTCAGTTTTTCATTTTTGATAAATTTGCAAAAATGTTTGCTTTGTCATTGTGATGTATTGAGTGTAGATTGATGAGGGAAAAAATTAATTTCAATGATTTTAGCATAAGGCTGCAACATGAACAGAATACTTTCTGAATGCTTTGTATTCCAGGTCAGCTTGTCCTCAGTTGAACAGACAAATACTGACACACAGCTGCAACCTTTTTCTGTTGTATCCTTGTTTTAGGGGATCAAGGGCAGCTTGACTTTTAGCAATCCAGGCAGAATTACCAGCAGTCTATTCCATTAGAAACAGAGAAGGCCATAATAAGCCTCTTTGCTGACTAACCCTCAGCAATCAGCAATCCTCTTTTATGACCTCTGGCTCTCGTGGAGATAGTTCACAGCATCAGCCACAAATAAATGTATTTCTTTTATATTTGTAGATTTTTAAGTGGTAGTTTCACCCTTAATTGCCACTTAAGATTTGAGGTCCCAAGCAATCAAGTGCGAAGGAAAGAAAAGAATGTCTGGGACCACTATATGTCAGGCATAACAAAGCTGGAGACAAGTGCAGAGCTCTTTTCACATTCAAGTGCTTAAGTAATCACTGTTTTGAAGGCCTTTTGAATTTCCATCTTTTTAAAGATATCTTTGGTTTTGTCAGAATGTCTGGTGTTTTTCAGATATATTTAAATGCCTCCTCTGCTCTGGCTGTGAATTAGCCAAAAATAAAAAGGCTGTGGTTAAATGCAACGCTCAACGTCATCTCAAACTGAAATCCAGAGCTGTTAAAAGTTATTGCTGCATCTCAACTGTTGGGCCTTTTTTAGAGCAATTATGGCTTTTTTTTTTTTTTTTTACAAGATGCCCAAACTATGACTAAAGCACTCCACTGCTGATGGTTATTTGAGGTCTTGATGTTTGGCTACACAGAAAATTATGCATTGGGGGATACAGACTGTTCATGAACTTCTGACATGTTTATGCTCATTGATTGTGCCCGTGAAGTTATTTTGTTGTTATTTTGTTTTTCTATATTCCTTCAGTAGGACGGATTAATTGGACTACAGTAAGATTTTATTCAGACATGAAGTCTTATCTTGCTTTGTCTGTGTGTGTTCATTTGCAGTATGACCCAGAGAATTCGGGCTTCATCAGTACAGAGCGGTTCAGGGACCTCCTGGCGACACACGGCTCTGAGCTTGACCCCCACAAACTGGAAGTCTTATTGGCCCTCGCCGATGGCAACGCTGATGGAAAAATCTGCTACCAGGACTTTGTGAACCTGGTGAGATGTTTTGACTTTTCATAGGCTCACTGACATCAGTGTGTCACTATCAACATACATATTGTATATCCAATATGTTCTCGCATGCTGTGTTGAAATTTATGTTGGAAAACCCAGATGTGTGGTCACATCAGTGGTCTCGCCAGAATAATTAAAAAAAAAAAACTTCAACTTTGAATTTTCATACAAACAGTTTATGACTTCACTTGGACTTTGTACTTTATACCTTTTGACTTGTACTGACTTGATATCCTTCACAAGCCCAAAGATTAAACATGGGCATAATTTGAATGAATTCTTCAGCAGCTAATCATATTTTGCAAGCAGGAGGAAACGTTAAGGTGCAGATCTGCAAGATGGTACCTTGGATTATCACATTCGACTGTACAGTTTCTGCTGTGGTCAACAAAAAACAGACAGAAACATGCTTGTATACAATGACTATAACTGTGTTACAAGAAAAACACAATTAAATATTTTGCCTTTAAATGTTATAAACTTTATTTAAAAGTAATACATGTAATAATTTCTAGTAGTAGTCATATTCTTTAAATTCACTATATTAACAGTTACACAGTTTAAAAATGAAATGACATTAAATCTGGTGAAGGGTACATAATAACTTGTTTACGACACAAAGTTTAGGATGTGGACATGGCTCAGTTCTTCGCTCAGTGTGTCAGAGCCATGAATTGAGACTTACTTGTAACTTGCAAAACAATGTCTGTATCCCACCTCTTCACCGTCTACAATATCTACACTTTGATTTTTCGTCACATTTCAGACTTCTCTCCATTTACATCCCTAATCCGATATCACCTCAGCTACAAGGTTGAGGGTCTCCCTAATAGGAAATGACCCAGTCTGGTGATAAATTCCCCTCTTAATGCTCACCTTGCCCCACTTTCAGTTTCACCTTCAAGCAGCTGTCTGCTGCTGATTGTCCAAGGTCTCACTCAAGCATCTCTAGCTGCGCCCGCCGCCTCATAAGCCTCTCATTTTCTGTTTTCCTCTGTCTCACTGCTGTTCCTCCTGGGAGGCTGAACTGCTGACCTGGGACTATGCGGAGTGGTCTTTGAGTGGGAGTAGTTGTGTGGTAAACAGTAACTATTGGTTGGCTGAGGGGTTGGGTGGGTGGGTGGGTGGTGGTGTGGTGGGGTGGTGGTGGGGGGGGGGGTGTCTGTACACACTGCAGGGAATTCATTGTTGTCTGTGAGTGTGAGTGTGTCCATCTCTCCCTTTCTGTCTTGTTCTTCAAAGCTGTTTATTGTCTGATGCAGTGGGTGAGGAATGAGGCCTGTAGGAACCTTGGAAAAATGTCAAAGGGTTTTTCGCTGTTGGTTTTCTCTTGGTGCATTCAAGTCATGTGACAGGCTGTGGGTCATGGTGTGCTACTGGAAGTGGGACAGAGGAATGGAGTGCGTGCATTTGAATATACATTCACTTTGTTTCTTAGTGGCCATTGTGTCCACACCTTCAATGGTTTTTACATTCACTGAGGCAGCCACAGCAGAAGCTAAACACAGAGAGCAATACGGGGAGAGTGGGAGTGAATAAAGAGAGAATCAAGTGACATGTATTATGGTAATATGCTGTGCAGTGAATGAATAAGTGCTGAAACAATTAGTTTAGATTAGATAAATTGATTAGTTAGCCATTTATAAAGCTAAAGTGCCAAACATTCAGTGGCTCTCTCCTCTGAAATGTGAAGATTTGCTGCTTTTCTCTCTTTCATATAATCGTAAACTAAATACATCGACAATGGTGAAATTGTGATGATAGTTTTTCATTATTTTCTGACACCTTATAGCCTAAACTGATCATCAGTCCATTATGAGAAGAGAGAAGTCATGAGAGAAATCATGTATTCATGATTAGGGTAATATACAATATAATCTGCTGAAAAGACTAGTCACTAAATTAGTTAACCAGTTGACAGAAAGTTTACTAACAGCAGATTTGATAATGTTTAACCGGTGAAGTCCGTTCAACAGGAAAATATAACTATATAATATGATATACATTCAGCTTGTATGTCAGAATAATGCTGCTTTTCTCTTTTTAAAACCATTATCAATTGAAAATATTTGGGTTTTGAGCTTTTGGTTGGATTAAACAAGTAATTTGAAGATTAATTGTTCATGAAATTGTTAGCTTTAGCCATAGAATGAAAACCAAGATGAATACCACTTTTGTTTAAGGTTATATGACAAACAAACAGGAATAACTTAAGTTCAGGTAATGAAAGAGCGTAGACCTCTGTTTCAGGAGACAGTTATTCAAAGCTAAATCTGTAAGAATTTCTGCGCACGTGTTCCCACACTTCTGTGAAAAAGCTTTTAAACATGATGCAAATATCTAAAGGAATGTGAAGCATGTATTCACAACATAATAGACTTTGTAAGGGCAGATGTTAATGGTCTGTAAGATAAAGATCAAAGGTCAAAGCCAATATGGGAACTTGAATGAGAGTTATAATTCTTCTGCCAGGTTAATTGGCAGTGCCTGGTTTCTGTTGGTACATTTTTATCTCTCCAGCCATTCTGCTTCCAGAGAAGGAAGGAAAGAAGGGAAAAAAAGGGAGAAAGAGAGGAGGAGGGCCAACACAGACAGAGACAAACTGTGAGGGGTTTATTTGTCACGCCATCTCTCCTTTGCACCACAGCCCCTCCATCAATGTGATTGTCAGTAATTGCCTGCTCACTGCTTTGTCACAGCCGGCGTTCAAATCACCGCTCTCTCTTCTTTTTACCTCTTCTTCCCTCCATCATCTCTCACTCTTTACCTTTACCTCTGTCTCTCTTCCTTTTGCATAAGCTCTCATCTTATTTCCCACTGCTTCTTCCTTATCTGCGCCCTGCACTTTCTTCTTTCCGTCCATTCGTCTCCCTCTGTCTAACTCTCTTTCATACATCACACTGTGACTGTCCCAGGCAGAAACCGGTTCAGTAATAGGTTTATACTCCCCAAAATATCTACAGACAGGTTCCACCGCTCTGTTTTTCCCCCAGTAGGATGAAATTATGGAATGATCATGATGGATTTGTGCCTGTGCTGACAACCGCACTCATATATGTCCTGTTTTGGGTTGTGTATGCCTGATACAGTTTTTTTTTTTTTTTTTTTTTCATGGCTTCAGCTAGCTTCTTAGTTCCAATTGGGGAAAATCTTAATGCTATAACATACAATTATATATCATACAACGTGCTTTCATCTTTATGGCAGTAATTTGTGAAAGGACCTTTCATGACAGTTTCCTGGTATACAAAAAAGTCTGTTAAGAAGTGGTTTTCTAAGTTTTGTGTTGTGAAGAACTTGACTGACCTGACCTCAACCCTATCCAACCCCTTTGGGATGAGTTTGAGTGTAACTACAAGCCAGCCCAACATCAGTGCCTGAACTCACTAAGGCCGTGCTCAGACAGACCCATTCACCCATCAAACCCATTCATTCATTGGAATGGGTCCACTCCTGTGGGTGCCAAAGCAAAGGGGTCCAGTAGACCATGACCAGATCAAAACCTAGCATATATCTGGCACTGTTTATGGTCAATATGTGAAATTAAGGACATGGTTGAAAACTGTTGTGTAACCACTGTATTAGCTACTTTCAATGGAAAGTAGTTAAAGCCTGCTTGAAAAGTCGCTAAATGTCACTGAATGATGTAATACACCAATTAGCATATTCATGATGTCATTGCGTCATATTTGCATTCTGCCTAGTGTCAGCCAGTTTCAGCCCTTTATCCGTTTGCTTCTCTTCTACTCTCTAATAAGATAATAAAATAAAACTCTTGCCAATAAAGCCATTCTCATTTACATGTTTTTCTTGTTCTTGTTCTGTTGATAGAGAACGGAAGAAGTATGAAATAGTGACTGAAACGCAGCTCATCCAGCAGTCACTTCCAATCCATTTCCAAGCTGCTGCTCTGCACTGCTAGGCCGACCTTGTGCTTGTAGGGCAGTTCTGGTGACCCTCTTTGTGGAGAGTACCTAAGGTTTGTCCAAACCAAAGTTGCTAGATTTGTCACTAGGTGCTATTAAAATAATTTGCTAAATGGATCTGAAAAGTTGGTAAATCTAGCGACAAAGGCATTAAGTTGGCAATTCATCTGGTAAGAGCAACTGCCAATGGGGAAACTCCAACACTCAGGCGGCTGACCAGTGGTGTAATTATTACTCAGTCAGTCGCTCATGGACATTCAGGGATACAGTGCAACTCATCACCCTGGATTTTTTTTTCTCTTTTTCTAAAACAGCCAGGTTCTAAAATCTTGTAGAAAGCCTGAAACCAGAAGAGTGGCATTTCGGTATAATGCTTAGGTTTTCACATATTTTTGGACATGTCAGATATTTCTGTGATAAATACAATACACTGCTACTCTTGCTTTTACTCCTTATTTTGGTCCCTCTTTTCCACCCTTGTTCATTGTCTTCTACCTCTTTCTTCAGTATGTCTCCACTTTCTATCTGTTTCCACCTCTGTCTTTCTTTTACTTATGTCCCTCTCATCTGACTGTGTTTTCCATCGATCAAACAGTGCAATAGTCTCTTGATTGCCGAACAGCCATTTGTCCCTTTCACCTCTTCTCTTCCCCTCTCCCTTCTCTTCTTGCCAGTGGGTAAACAGACAGAACGTCATTCTTTCTTTTGTGTTGTGCAAAGAGGAGAGGAATTGCAGTCACTTCACACGAAGAATGAACTGTCTTTATAGAGCATGGCTGCCTGGGGGAGGTGTGTGTGTGTGTGTGTGTGTGTGTGTGTGTGTGTGTGTGTGTGTGTGTGTGTCTGCTTTAGTATGTGGTCTGAAAGTGGCCATGGTAACCCATAATCATTTTCCCACAGTTCTCTGTGCCTGACTTAAAGACTGAAATAATTGGCTTTTTCTGAAGTTTATCTCCAAACAGTGATTCCTGCAGAGACACTAAAAGTCTCATTAAACAGTGCCAGCAGAACCATCAGCCAACTGTTCATACACAGATTGTATTGATGTTCTGATTTTACATCTGTCCCTCTTATTAGTATTTTCTGCGGTCAGTTTTTTTTTTTGTGCATATCTTTCAACTCAGTCGACTTGAAATGAATTGAGATATGTACCTTTGTTTTCAAATTGTACACAAATAAGTTTGTCATCTTTAAACCAGAATGTTCCTTATTGTCTGTACATATACTTGAGTAAACATCAATCCAAGCTTCATTACACATTTAACATTTTGAGGCCATTTAAAGTTGTAATGTTTCAAAGTTGCAGTAGTTATATCCACCCACCTTTTTATTATACTTTATTGGCCTTAGCCACATTACATTTATCTATTTCGCCAATCTCTACCGTTGCAGAAAACAATATTACTTATTCTTATTTCTTTAAAATAATATCTACTAACTGACACATCTGGGCTTCCTGCAATCCTAGAGACACAAACACAATAATAGAGTTGATGGAAAGTGACATAAACAGAGCAGAGTAAGGAAGAGATCAGGAAAGGACAGAAAGAGGGAGACAGACAGAAAGAGAGAGGGAAGGAGCCTAGGGAGAGAAATGGGACAGGAGTCATTGCATTGTCATGGAGCGTCTTGTAAAACACTCTGCAAGTGAAATAAAAGGCACAAAGCAGTGAATTAGGCAGAAAGCTTAGACAGCTACAGCAGCGATGTTTCCCATCTATGCAAATAAATGGCAAGAGTTTCCTGGCTGCCTCAGCTGCTCTTTTTTTTTTTTTTTTTTTAATTTGACTCCAAATATTCTACATATGTCCATAAGATACCATGTTATTGTATAGATACATTCATTCACACTGGGACAAATATTTCCTACGACATTCATTTACTCAGTGTGTGTGAGTAAAATGCACTGCACTGCAGTGTGGAAACATTTAGAGAAAAAAAAAAACACATGCACACATGATTTCTGTTGAACATAGTGGGACCACACACACCCTCACACACAAAACTGTAAACATGCAAAGATAGGACTTGAAAAAACGTTTCCTTTCCTTCCTTTTCTTATTTCAAAATTGTTCTTGGACCACTTATAGACCAAGAGTTATAGTTATATACGGTTATAGTTCAGATATAGAGTCTATGATTATCCATTGTATCCATGTTTGGCATGGCTTGAAAAAATATTTAAATGATTACTAATTTATCAAAATAGTTGCCAGTTACAAAATGTTGATTAATCAACCAGTCTAATTGCTGCGGCTCTAGTTTAATGTATTAGTGTGTGGAGAGCGTCAAAATGAGATGTCCACCGTTTGAAAAATGTGACACCTGTACAAGGAAAATTAATGCAATAAATCAAAACAGATGACAGCGCCTTTGAGCAGAGAAGTCATTTCATCAGGTTTAAAAAAGAAAAAATCTTCTGTAACTGAAGGATTCTAAACGATGAACTAAAAAGGACAAATGTGTTTGGAAATGAACTCTTCGTTGACAGAAAGGGATGAGGAGAAGGGTTTGACGGTTGCTAGGTGATGATACAAGCATTCTGTTGCCACGGTGAGGTGGGAGGGGTCTGTCAGTGTGCTGGACAGAGGAGAATTGGTGTGTGTGTGTGTCTGTGTGGCCTGTTCCCAGAGTGTTCAGGCTCTTTTTGTACATCAAGTAGTTCATGAATGTACATAATAGCAAATAATAATAACAAAATAAAGTCTCAAAAATATTCACATCTTAAATAAAACCATAAAATTGCAGATAACAGCATGATTATGTGAAAAGCTGCTGAACTAATGATAATAAGAATAATAAAATAGATAATAAAAATCTCTGACATGTCTCTCATGCTGCTTCTCCTCTTGCCTTGCTCTTCTCTCTGCCTCACTCCTTCTTCCCTTCTGCTCCCTCCCTTTCATCACTTTCCTCTGTTCCTTCCGCCTTCCTCCAGATGAGTAACAAGCGCTCCAACAGTTTCCGGAGGGCCATTCTGCAGGGGAGCCGGCAGCTAAAAGGCTGCAGTCTCAGAGATGAGGTCGGCCTGGGGCTCTCTCAACGGCTGGTCCGACACGTCGCCTATGAGACGCTGCCCCGCGAGGTCGACCGCAAGTGGTACTTTGACAGCTATACCTACTGTCCCCCACCCTTGCTCATTCTGGCTATCACCATTGCTGAGGTAAATTGTTTGTGTGAGCAGCTTATACATTCCAACCAACTGCAGAAGGCAGTAATGTAAGTGTCTGGTGCTTGCAAGCTGTACAATACAAAACAGAAGTTGTGTCTGTCCAATGTGATGGTAAATATAACTGGTGAAACGCAGCAATGTAACACCTGAAGTAAAGAAAGAAAAGGCAGCAAGCTAATGTAAAAGCAGGTTTCAAAATATTTAAACATGGTTTTGCAAATGTTTTATGAGGATGGAAACTGTCACAACTGGTGCTAACAGAGTAACAAGAACACAGGATAGGACCCAAATGCAGCTAATGAAATTCAGTGATTTTATTTACACAAAGTGCTACAAAGGCATAGAGGATGGTGGGGCAGGCAAGGGTCAAAACCAGTGAAGACAGTTCAGACAGGCAAAAAAATCCAATAATGCACAGGCAGGAATCCAATGTCCAATAAACAGGCAAAAGGTCAAAACCCTGGCAAGCCAGGAAGAAACAAGGAACCAGGACATGAAGCACACTGCAATATAACATAAGGGTCTTTCCAGGAACAAATGAAGTGAACAGGTATATGTAATGCAAAGCTGATTAGGAAATGAGGTGCAGGTGGGGAGAGAACAGGTGTGTGGATGGGCGAGGCGGTCAAGTGGCGAGACAAGGGAAAGTCTGAGGACATCTGCTGGTCAGCTGGGGGAAGGCAGGTCTGGGGAGATGAAGGGAAGAACATGGTCTGGGAGAAATGAGCAGGGGGCTGGAGACAGAGGCTGAGGGGAACTGAGGAGCAGACTGTGACAGGAAATACTTTCAACACATTTGCTCAGCCTCATGGAAGTGCACAGTATGTTTTGGTGAGAAGATGCAATGCAAACATAACAAGACAACATTGTTACAAGACACCTCCACAGGGTTCCTTCGAATTTGTAATAATTTAAATAATAAAGTCTCTTCCGTGATATATATTGCAGTTCCCTGCAGAAAAGTCAATTCATTATGTGGATATATGACATAAAATTTGGTTGAATAACTTGGATCTAATATTTGATATTTAAATAAGACAAATTACTTTAAAACATTGAAGAAATATCACCAGCTCTTAGAAATAGTTAATTTAACTAATAACTCTTAAATATGTGTAAAGAAATCAAGTTCAAAGTTTGTGTTCAACTTTCATCTGTTTACCAGAGCAATTTGTTTTGTTTTATGATTCTGGGCATTATTTTATTGTATTCACAGTAACATAATTCCTCCTGAAATCACTCAGTTCGTGTTCGTCCCTCTGTGCTCTCCCAGGTAGCCGTGTTCATGTACTACGGGTTCCAGCTGGACCGCTTGGTCCTGCAGGTGTCCAGCCCGTCATTCCTAAAGAGCCCCTTACCGTACCATCCCCAGCTACGAGCCCAGGCCTGGAGGTACCTCAGCTACTGTTTCATGCACACTGGGTGAGTTCACATCTCGCTATTGAATTTCTAATTATGAGCATTACACCCTGCTGTATTTCTTAGAGGCACAACTGAGTGCTTCTGTAACCCTGTCAGCATCCAAAATAGTGTGTAGCACCACTGGGATGAAATTACATAATGATAAACACAAATTAGAGGTACTGTATTGCTCTGATGCCTTGGGTCGTTCAGGTTTATGACATTTGAAAGAGCTTGTTTCATAATAATTTTATAACCAGGAATACACTGTGCACATACAATGTGTAATTAATGAAAATTGGAGACAAGAAATAGGAGATGGGATTGCAACATGCACGTTGCTAAGGAGGTCTTACTGAGTAAACAAGTGATAAATAATCTTGTGGGACACCTTAAAGTATCACATTCTCAAACAGGCTATTGTTGTTGATTATTAATGTAATGTGTATATATTGCAGTGCTGCTGTTATATCTGAACATGGGGAGCATTTATCTTCATCATCACTCTCCTTCGCTAAAAGATGCCGCTAAAGACTCAAGTGACAGATAATCAGATAATTTCATAAGACTTCTTCAGCCTATATCTCCTCTCCTCTCCTCTCCTCTCCTCTCTTTTCCTCTCCTCTCCTCTCTATAGAGTCTTTTATTATCAGTTCAGGCCATGTCATCCAGGTTTAATAACCCTTCTGGGTAAATGTAGTCTTAGGCAATAGTGAGCACTAATAAAATGATAATTTAATTAGAAGGTTCTGGGGAGAGACAGGAGCTGGACTGACAGTGTGTGAAAAGATAAACTAGAAAGGATGAAGGGAGGGAATGACTCTAGCATGACAGAAATGCACAGTATGTTATGCATAGCCTTGTTTATTCATCAGATACATTGAACCATCAGTAACATCTTTCTGAAAACATAGCATGGTTCTATAATTTCATCATGCCTCTATATGCTTAGTTGGTCTCACTAATACATTGTGTTTGAACATGCCTCATCAACTCTGACTGAGTGCTGTTTTTTGTTGAAATAGAACACGGTTTAATCACAAATTAAATCTCATTCACTATGGTTTTGCTGCTGGTTTGCGCTGCTTAACATTCAGCAGTTGGTTGGTACACGAATCCAGTGAAGGTGGGACAGATGCAGTAAATGATAGTGAGTTCAACAAATTAAATAACTATGAGGGAAAAAAAAACTGATGCACTGATATGAATTTCATTACCATTTTGAACAAATAGATCCACATCATTTTGAGTTTGGCATACTGAGCAACTGTCCCTATCTCCAAAAAGCCATTGAGTTGAATATTGCACAGCTTTTGAATGTATTCAACGGTATCAACCATTTACATCACTCCACAGTAGAGTTTTAAGATATTTGTTTCTCCGTGTTTAACTGACACTCTGTGCTTGCTGAGTATAAACCTTTGATCACTGGTTCACGTTACAGCTGTAGTAACCTGATGAATTACATACACGTGCACGTGTAGACACATACAGGCAAGTCATACAAAGGGGGGTGGAGTACATGTTAATAAAGCCCCTAGAGGGTAAAAGTGATGAGCATGGGGGCTTCACAAGTTCCACCAAATGTGGTGCGACAGCTCATGTGCATTGTACAACAGGCATAATTAAAGCCCCCTGTTGTTGTAATGTGTGTCTTAGGAAAAATGACCTTACTTTATTGTCCAAATAAATTCATATTGCCTGGGTTTTGAAGACAGAGTAACCCAAAATAACTGTGTTCATGTCACTCTGGAGTCTGAATGTTATGATTCATGTGACATCACAAATGATATTTTTCTGTGTCTTTATTTAGCTGTAGTTCACTAAAGAGTGATTGAAAACATTGGTGTGAAAATGAAAAGACCTTTAACAAAAGTCAAGCACATGAATAAAACCCACAACGCTGTGTGCTCCCTGATCCACTTCTCAACTAGTACGCACAATACTTTGCATGTCCTACTCAAAACTCACCACTCACATCATTAAAAGTGACACTGTCTTTTGTAAAGCTTTTATGACGTACTGATACCACTGCTTCCATATTCTCATTCTCTCTCTCTCGCTCTCTCGCCTTCTCACACACACACACACACACACACACACACACACACACACACACACACACACACACACACACACACACACACACATCTACAAACCATGTAATCCTGTCAACAGCTCAGCAGCACTGATCCTTCCCAATTCTCAACACTAAAACAGAGTGTAAATATTGGCCCCAAAACATCCCTCAGTACAGCATTATGCATGCAGAATCTCTCCCTCTCTCTACTTCCTCACTCTCACTCTCTGTCACACACACACAAACAATGTGTCTGCAGCGGCTGTGAAAACCTCAGGAAAATTCACTTTGTGCAAAACTAAACCATGAGTCTAAACTGCGAAAAGCATCAGCAAAAGACTTCTTTGCAGCTTTATTTTTATCCCCGAAGTTTTGTCCTGCAATAATGAACAATACTTTTGCGATACAATCTGTGCTAATTGAATGATGACATTTCTAATGTTGACAATTTAATATTTAGTGTGTTTCTTTAATAATATTTCTTTTGTGAAAGCTGGCTCAAAGGCCTTTCACTGAGCTGAGTGCTTGAATCGTGCAGTAAACTCAACCAACAGTCAAGTACAACTGTGGTTTGGTTGAGCCACAGATGAAAAAAGGACAAGATTAAACAATGCTTTAGTTGAACGCCCTGAAAGACCATGGTCATCTGGACACAAAAGGAGCTCTCATGGGTATCCACAGATCTGCCTGACAGTGGAAACCATCCCTCACAGCCTCATTAGCAGTATAGAAATAGAAAGATGCTGTTATCTGGAGTAGAGTTGTCCTTGTGCATTTGGACTGGCCTCTCCCAGCAAATCAATATGCCCTATTGTCTGTCTGATGACTGGAACAATCCTCTATGTCGGCATTGTAGTTGAGGTGGCTGAGTTGTTTGTAACTTAAAAGATTATTGGCCTTGTCTTGTATTTTCCTGTCCGTGTTGGGTGAAGTGTGTGTGTGTGTGTGTCTGTGTGTGTGTGTGTGTGTGTGTGTGTGTGTGTGTGTGTGTGTGCGTGTGCGTGTGCGTGTGCATGTGTGTGTGCCCATTTGATTTGGGAGTGTTTTTACTTATTTCTACAAGGATGCACCGTCAGGACACACTGCGTTCACAGATTCAGTCCGTCAAACTGTCAAATGACGGAGAAAGGAGACTCCTGAAGGAGTCATCGCGCTGTTTCTCTCTGTTTCTTTCTGTCATCTCTCTTTCAGCAAAACAGGAATGACAGTATAATTCAGAGACAGAAGATACAAGACAGTGACTGAAGTGAGTGAGAGACAATGAGATAGACTGAGAAAGTGATGGAGGGAAAGAGACAAAGAGGCCGGATTATGCTAGCTGCTGTTCTTTTGGATTCTGCTGTGACACCCGAATGTGTCTGAGCTGCTGACTGAGGTTTGGCTGGAAGGACTTTCTAGCCATGAAGGGCACAGGGTGTGTGTGTGTGTCTGTGTGTGTCTGTGTGTGTGTGAACAAGCTATCCCTTGCTTATACTCATCACACTGAAACACAAGCCGTGAGCGGATTTGGGTAAATTTGCAGCCGACACGCATGGCTTTTATCTTTATTTTCTGTGCCGTGTGCATGTCATTGTGACTGTGTGAGTGAATTTCTATGTGTGCACGGGATGTGATTTTGTGTGTGCACACTGTGTGCCTTTGTCTATGTTCATATGTGATGTTTGAGTACGCTGGAGTGTGTTGATGATTATCTGTCTATGGCAGAGTGGTTTGATGAAGGAGCAGATGTTCTGTGTGTGTGTGTGTGTGTGTGTGTGTGTGTGTGTGTGTGTGTGTGTGTGTGTCTGTGTGTGTGTGTGTGTGTGCATAATAATAGTGGGCTTAGAAGGAGCAAGCAGGTGATAATGTGTTAAAATAAAACAACCACACATTGCAGACTCTTACATCCAGTGACTGATCTGAATACTTTAATGTGATCATATTGGTGTGGAAAATGCCATTAGTTATATCTGAGGCAAAATGACTGTTCGTTTAAGATTTCCTCTATTACTGCTTTTGTTCTTTGTCAAAGGATTATAGTGGGGAGTTTTTTTGTTATGTTTACTTGTGACAATCAATTTTCCTTTATTTCTTTTCATGTCTGTGCACAGTTGGTGTCGTTTGAGATATCTTGTTTTCCTCCCCTCAGAAGAAACCATTTGTTGCTCCTTTGCAGTAAATATAAACCCAGAATTTGTTTTTGTCACAGTTTCTGTTTTGTCATTGTGTGGTGCCAGAGTTGAGTGTGTTTCCTGTCAGTCATCTAACAGCCACAGGAAGAATGTCGCCTGTACAGAGTATATTATCACATTATCCCGCACTTGTTGACATTTGGAGCATTTTATTGGCAGGGAAATAAGTTATTCTCAAGCTGCTTTTGATTGGAAGTTTACAGAAAAATCTAAATAAATGCAGCATGTATTGCAATATGACTGCGGAAATGTAAATTTTTGTACATTTGTAGACAGATGTAAAAGGTAAATATTTGTGTGTTTAGCTGGTCTTGTATTGTTTTCATACCACAAAGAAAAAAATGCATTAAACCACTGTTAAACAGCTGAGAATCACAACACACCGTATTTTCTCAGGATCTCATTAGTGTTCAATCAGAATGCTCTCTCAGTCATTTATTGTGAGGAATTTACTTATTAATTTTCTGACATATTATGCTCAATAGCTACACACACACATACACAAACCTTGTAATCCTGTCAGCAGCTCAGCAACACTTGATCCTTGCCAACTGCCAAAACAAAAACAGAGCGCAAATATCAGCCAAAAAACAGGCCTCAGTAGAGCAGTATGCAGACTGGCCCACTCTTCAGCATGCTCTCTCTGTCTCTGTCTCACTTTCGGTCCGTTTCAAAACATATTTTTTCTTAGTTTTGGTTTTACTTGCCCAGGTTTTCAGATATGTCCCTCTGACATTTCTGCCACCCCAATATGTTGTTATGTTGTCTACTTTTAACTCTACTGAGGTTAATGTGTGTGTGTGTGTGTGTGTGTGTGTGTGTGTGTGTGTGTGTGTGTGTGTGTGTGTGTGTGTGTGTGTGTGTGCGCGTGCGTGCGTGTGTGTGTCTTTCATAGCATTGAACACTTAAGCCTGAACATGGCCATGCAGCTGCTGGTTGGAGTCCCCCTAGAAATGGTCCACGGAGCCCTAAGGATCGGACTGGTCTACGTGTGTGGTGTGCTGGCAGGTGAGCATGTGGTCTCACACACACACACAAACACACACTCATTTGCAAGGCCCTTGTCCATCCACTGCATGCATTTCCCTCCCTCTTATCTACACACACACTCCATCCCAGAGACAGTGTGTTGGTGGATACTGGCCAGTGAGAAAATTTAGTTTGTGTGCGTGTGTTTGGCATGTTCAGGACAGATGGCCTTGTGTTTCTATCTTCCTATCAGATGTGATGGGATGTAGGTGGGTTGTCAATTCCCCATCAAAACACCCACATCCCCCAATGGTCAGGGAGCAAAAAGAGTCATTTCAAATGGAGCTCAATCTGTGGAAGACACACTCAATGTCACAGGTCACTTGTGGGGACATTACATAGACTTGAATTAATTTTCTTAAGACTTACCCTAACAGTAATCCTAACCACTACTTGCCCAACCCTAACCCTTACCCTAACCTTGACCTAACCCAGTTGGACAAGCCGTCCCCAATTAACTGGTCTTTAGTCTAAAATTTGCCCCAAAAAAGTAACCTATGACACACACACACGCACACACACACACACACACACAGTAATAATGAAATAGGAAGGGGGGGAGTGTGTAAGGCAGGGATGAAGAGAAAGAAGAGACGAAGGAGGGGCGATGAATTCATAAGTGTTAATAAGCCTGAGAGGGTTTGGAGAGCGGAGCCAGGATATGAGAAACATAGAGATGGGGAAGGAGAAGAGAGAAGAGGAGGTGGGTGAGATTTAGCAGAAACCGAGCGAGCAACTGCAAATGAGAAAGCGAATGCAGGCACACATCTTATAACAAAATGTCACTGCTCTCTTCCGACTTCCCTGTCAACCTCAGGCCCTGGTGCAATTTCAGCTCTGTTCAGCTGAGACACTAAGCCTGCATTTCTCTGTGTGTGTGTGTGTGTGTGTGTGTGTGTGTGTGTGTGTATGTGTGTGTGAGAGAGAGAGAGAGATCATAAGCTGTTTTTCAGTACACAGTAACAAAGTCATCCACCCCATTGTTGGTTTCCCGCCGCAAACCAAACATTTTATTTTATTTATTTATTTTTTTATTCTTTTGGTGCCCAGGGGTGACACTTCTAGCCAACAAGATAACTGGAGTGGAAATATTGGGCTACTTTTTGAGATCAGTGTTATAGTTTTTTTTTTTTTTTTTTTTTGGGGTGAATGTGATGCCTTGTGGCAGAAAAACTGTGGTGTATGTGTGTATGTGTGTGTGTTACAGTGTGTTAGAACAAAAAGGCAAAGGGGGATTGTGGGATATGAATTGCAGTCAATACGATTTTGCTTAATCATTCATGTGTGATGTGTGTGTGTGTGTGTGTGTGTGTGAGCATAATAATAGTGGGCTTAGAAGGAGCAAGCAGGTGATAATGTGTTAAAATAAAACAACCACACATTGCAGACTCTTACATCCAGTGACTGATCTGAATACTTTAATGTGATCATATTGGTGTGGAAAATGCCATTAGTTATATCTGAGGCAAAATGACTGTTCGTTTAAGATTTCCTCTATTACTGCTTTTGTTCTTTGTCAAAGGATTATAGTGGGGTTTTTTTTTGAGTGTGTGAGAGAGAGAGAGAGCAGGAGAGAGAGCGAGAGAGAGAGAGAGAGAGCAGCAGGGGTCAGTGACAAACACCCTGGGGATACCAGATGTGGTGGCCTGTAGCATTAACCTCGCAGTGAAATGAGGAGGAAACGCACCATAAATCACACACACTTATGTACGCGCACAGACTAGCACACACACTCACACACACACACACACACACACACACACACACACACACACACACTCACACACACACATATACACGTTTGCTGTTTTAATTACATATCGACCACCAGTGGAAGAGGGGAAGCATGCTCTGGTTGTTTTGGCTGTGATGTTTAGGTTTGTTGTGTCTGCCTGGGATGTTTTGTAGTGTGGCAGCAGCAGGACAGTAGATGCTATCCAAAGTCACAACTCTCAGAATATTTCCCATTTAGCAACAAGTGAATCGATGTGATGTGACTGTGTTTTATAGGCCACAGTTTTATGTATCATTTATGTATTATACTTATTTTTACAGCATTTTATTTTAAACAGAAAGACGGGAAAATAATGATTTAATTTCCAGTAAAGATTATTATTCAAAATCCATTTATATCTTTTATTATGTACACACGCGTACATACTTTCTCACAAGTCATGCTCATTATTTATTTATTTAATGTTTAATTGTATAGGGAGGAGTATATAACATAATCCAATGCCACATACCCGTCTAATACCCATACAAAACTTTATATATACCATAAATGGGAAAGAATTGTTTCAGGATACCAATAATACTGAATTGAAAAAATTACGTTTCCGTTGATAATTTCTTAAATTCTTTAATTATCATATAATACCATTTCAGAAGTTTGGCTTAATTCTTGAGCATTTTTGTACAGTGTTAGGTAACAAACAATCAGTTACAACACAAACAACAACTTTACATTTGCTATATAATTACACAGTAATTAGTCAATAGTGAACAGAGGGGGACTCAGTTGGCACATACAGGGTTTGAGGCAGAGTTCAGGGGTCGAGTAATGACTCAGAGAGAGGTCGATGACCCTCTAGGGCCAACACACACTCTGACACTTTAATGGAAACAATGGACTTGCATGTGAACACATGGGTACTCTCCTCTGGACAGCAGACAAGTACGTAGACATAATAAAACAGACTCTGCCTTTACCAAGGCTATGAGACAGATGCTTCAGCAGAACAAGAAGAAGTGCACAACAACACAGGATAGAGCAGCAAAACAGACATAGACAATAAAGTAAACAACAGAGAGGGAGAGAAGCTCACACATCACTAGTGAAAGACTCAACTATCTGCACATGGGGGGTGTTGGGGATGGGGTGGAGGGTGTTTTGGGCGTGGGTGGGAGGAACAGAGTGTGTCCTCACAGAGGAAAACACTTTGTCTAACACACACATAAAACACTATGTTAGTGACTTTGTAAATTCAGTTTCCTCAACACTTTTTTTCATGATCACCGTTTGCATTATCATTTCCCCTCATGTGCCCGGTTCTTTCTCTGCAGCTTGGAGGAGCATCAAAGATAAATGAAATGCCACTTTTGACTCTAAAAAGTACAGGTCTCCTGGGGCCTGCTGAGGGACTATGAGAGACTGTGTCCTTGTGTGTGTCTCTGTGTGTTTGTGTGCACATGCAACCACAGTGCTATAATAATGTTATTAAACTGAGTTAATTACAGGGATGGAGGTCACCCTGCTGAGACACACTTCCTAAACATAGGAACTACAAGGTGGAGGTGCCTTAAATCAGGTGTTTCAGTGTGTGTGTGCGCTACAGTGCATTAAAAGGCTGTAATAGATGGTTGATTGAATTTTTTTTGCAAATTAATTGCTACCAGTTTTTCCATAATTATGATCGTTAATGTGCAAGATTATTTTGTAATTTATAGTTGATTCAGAAAAGAAAAGAACTTTGATTCTTGCATGAATCAATTTCCCCCACTGCTTGTGTGTTAGAGAGAAGGTAACAGTGTGTCTGCCTATGTGAGCGTGGGCGGATGTGTGTTTGTGTGTTTGTGTGTGTAATCACCTAGTGGCTTAGATGACTACTGTGTTTAATCACCCAGTGAGTCAGATGCTGTTATTACACCACCTTGCTGTGGTGTCATTATGGTTCACACACCTGAGAAGGCCACACATCAGGAAAAGAAGAAACTCCTGTTTGGTGCTAAATGTCAGTTCCAGCCTTTACAATCTCCTTTCATTTCACTTTCAATCACACACTCCTTTGAAAATGCACTGATCTGAAACTCAGTTGGGGTTAACCGTGAGAATTTTGAATAATGTCAGGGCAGTCTGAAGGTTTATCAAACACACACAGCATTCACTGGGTGGATTTTACAACTGTAAATAAATCACTGGAACAATTTCTCCTCTGTCTCGATGCTCGCTTTCAACTGAACCTTTTTTTTTTGTTGGGGGGGGGTCACGGTCTGAGTGTTACAAGTTTGTATGGAATTGAATTAAGTGTGTATTTTTTATTTACTTTCGCACCTAACCTTACCAGTATTGGTCTTGTAAAGCCAGGAGGAGAATTTCCTTGAAACGCTGTATACATGAAACTCTGTTACACAGAGAACAAGTTTTCTCTCCACATCACTGACCTCCCTCAGGACCGTACAGCATGTATCCCCATTCCTCATCTCAAAACAGTGGCAGAACAAATACAATGCAACTGCATTACTTCTCTCCACTGGTTTTCCCATTCTCAGGTAAATGTGCAAACGCGTCAGTTTATGCAAATAATTTTCTATGTTTGCAGTGTAGTGGTATTAATGTTCACATACAGTAACCCATAACTTAACCCTTATTATTATGCACATCCCTTCCATTTTTGTTACCATTTTTTTTCATAAATGAAGAATGAGGCCACTGTGAGGACATGGGAATTCAGTTTCATTCATTTTTGTGTCATGTTAGATGGTGTATGTGTAAGCACTATGCAATAATTATTGTTTGCACATCTGTATGCTGTATTTGTGGCTAATATGCATGTTTTCTCATGCTTGTGCGAGTGTGCGAGTGTGTCTGTGTATGTTTTTGTTCAGCCTCATTTTGAGCCCACTCCCATAAATAGAACCATGATTGAGATGCCGTGGCTTATCCTATCATCCCTCCTCATGGTGATTTGATATCTATGAGCTCCAGAGCCCTTTCTGTAATTATATACAGTATGCCTTCAGCGTAATGTACCCTAATGTTTGTGTATGTTTAAGAGAGAGACACAGAGAGCTAGAGGAAGCAGCAGAAAGAGAGACACTAAACAAAGCTGGGTGGAACTGAGCTAAATGTGAAATGAGCATCATCGAAACCACACAGCTACATTAATGTACAAATTCACGAGGATAAATGTGGCTTAAGCTTAGTCGGTTGATTTTGCAGCTATTTGAGGGCTAAGCTTAGCAAGCTGCAATTTTACCAGAAATCACACAGGCTTAAATATCTAAATGGGGTCTACTGCTCAGTGGGCCCATTTATTTTGCTTATGTTTATTTTTGTTTATCTACCATGAAGTCCTTACTCTTGAATTACTTTAAGATTAAGAATAAATATGAAAAAGATTAGAGTTGTCTAAGCGATGATCAAGGTCTCAGGAAAATAATAATCATTCAAAATGCTCACCTCTGCCATCAGCTACCTGGGTTTGATCTTAAGCTCATCTTGATGGTTTCACAGCCATAAGGAGCTTAACTGAGAAGGCACACTGGACTTTTTAGGCCATATGAAAAAGTTTATATAAGTATAACCCATTGTCTGTATTTTGGATAAAATATTTCAGTTTCGTATTTCTACTGATCTTTTCATATGCCAGTGAATTATGAGGCCAATTTTTTAAAATTAATTATAAAACAAGTGAATCACATGCCAAACTAAAAATCTTGACCTTGATTTATTCTAAAAACATCTTTGGAGTCCAACAAAGCAGCAAAAAACCAACAAAAGTAGGTCAAATTCTGGAGCCACTTCTTCCAAAATCATCAAGCGGCTGTGGATGTGAACCACAGCCACAAAACTCCATCAATATCAATATTAAACTTCTTTATGATGAGTACAAGAAAAGGAAAAAAAAACTTACAGTGGTTTGACAAAGCAACTTCTAATTAAAGTCTACTTACTAGCTTTTTCCACTTTCTGGAGCTTTCAACTATATCACATAGTTTAAAAATGCCAGAAAAAGCCAGTAAGTGGACCTTGAGTTTTGTCAAGGAATTAACTCCAAGCTCCAGACTAAATGTTGATGCTTAAATTTACAATGTTACCAAACTTTATATACTGTAGTTCATATATTTCTTGTACATATGTAAATGTTAATGTATATACACATATCTGTGTTTGTGTGTTATGCGAATAAAGCATATTTGTATTTGAGAGAGAGAGCAGAAATTAGTTGAACATAGAGGGAAAGCAGGAGACCATTCATCACCAGCTCCATGTGCTCTCCTGTGCAGTGTCCGCAATTGTGTCTCATATCTTTAGCATCAATAATGCACACAGGTCAGTGCCGTGGAGCAAAGGGAGGGAAAAGATATACTAAGAAATGAAGAGTGGATGGAGTCTATGCACAAGGAGAGAGAGAGAGAAAGAGAAAGAGAGAGAGAGACAGTGTGAGCAAAAGAAAAAGAAAATGAGCAACAGAGAAAGGACAGAGTTGTGTTTGGATAATTTAATAGTCCAAATAGAGATTTCTCTATCTCCTTTTTTCTTTTATTCTGTCTCTTGTGCAAAGAATGCAGTGGGAACAAATTTCTTCTGGAGACTATTCAATGCTTGATTGGATCTTTTGTGCATTCAATGAATTGGTACCAAGGTGCTAAAGACAGCAGTCCCTTGTTTGCAGCAGCCAAGTTTGTATGAATGCATTTGTTTTACAAAAAAATCACAGTGTGTGCTGGTACAGTATGAGCAAGCCTCTATTCAGGCCTATTCATAATGCACCCATATGAAAAAGCGAGTAGCAAAGCCGGCTTTATGCCATACAAAATAGATGTTTTCAGAGCACAAATGGTCACAGCTTGTACAAAAACAGTTTAAATTAGCCGTTTAGTCACAGTGTCTCCCAGTGTGACCCTCTGAGGGAAAAAAAATTCAAATTTCCCCCTGAATAGTGAAAGCTGAGACTCAAGATTGTGGCACGAGACACATTTTCAAGCAACCAAATAAAATACTGTGCCATTTAGCACATTTAGCATTTTTTTTCTAATCTAATCTAGTTGAGAAAACATTCACACCACAAGGTCTATGAAGTAGCTGTTCTGGAGTTTTACATCATATCACATGATCATCATCAGTAGAGGGAGTTTGTCCAGTTAACATGGATGACAGATGTGCAAATTTTCTTTTTTTCTGAGCCTTTTGAAGCTGCTATTGAGGATCACGAAACGGGTAACTTGTACTGCAAAGACAAAAACCCACAGAGAATTATCACTTGACCCTGCACTTCTCCTGTTCCATAGATCTTTACAGCATCTTTCTGCTCATTGGTTTGATTTTATAGCCTGAAACTTTATTGTTCACTATCACCATTCTCTTGTCGCTCTCAGCTGCAGATGGCTAGCTGTTTTTAGTCATGAAAATCTCTAATAAATCCACTGTACACCAGTTGCTCATCACCAAGCTGCAGACATGAAAGGTTAGCTTGTGAACACAGTGGAACATTTTTGTTGCTGAAGAGCCAGATATTCCCCTCAGGAGTTGGTAGAGACCAAAAACTGAGTTAAAAGGAGGCTGAATGTCGGACTTTTCATTCATCAGGTGGCCAGAATAAACAATTCCAAATGAATGCTAATGATGCTCTTTATTTGCTGGATGTGTACATAAGCAAATGTTTGCTGACAAGTTTGCCATTTTAAAAGGTGATATGTTAGTGTTGTGGTCACAACTTGATTCTATTCCCTCCAAGTGACCGAAAAATCTGTCACTGCAAGATTTTTCTCATCTCAACTTACAAATCTAACCCCATCTGACATTTCTGATTTAACTCATCACTCATATCTTTTGTATTTTACCCATTGACGGTTTCTCTTAATTGCCACCAAAACCTCCTTCTTGTTGCTCATCATAATTTTTAGTTTTGGTTCTATTTTGAGTTGAATTTGAAGCGACTGTGGTATTTTCAAAGTGAGGTTGATCGCTATTGTGTATTTCTAATTGAGGGGATAGATATCCTGTTACTTTTTTAAAGCTGTGGATAATACATGAATAATACATAAATGTTCTCATTTGTTTATAAATAAAAACCAAAAGCAAGTTTACTGACCTGTGACCTTTCTCATCACTACAGGGTCTCTGGCAGTATCTGTCACTGATATGACGGCTCCAGTGGTCGGATCATCCGGGGGAGTGTACGCATTGGTCTCAGCACACTTGGCCAATGTTGTAATGGTAAGTTTGTGTGTGTGTGTGTGTGTGTGTGTGTGTGTGTGAGAGAGAGAGAGAGAGAGAGAGAGAGAGAGAGAGAGAGAGAATGATTATCACATCACTCAGTTGTCACTACAGAGCATTGCCACATCATCAAAGCAGCTTGTTGTGGGGCCCAGCAGGTGCTTCTCTATCTGCAGATGCCATAAATTCCTTACCATCACTATCAGTTGTACCCCAAAGATCAGAGTGTGTTTGAGCTTGTGCACAGGTTTATGTGACAGCATGGGAGGAAATCCCATCCCACTGCTCTCTGCTGTCCTTTGACATCTGTGTCTGCTCTGTTTGGTCTTCTCTCCCTCTGTGGGTCGTCATACACACATTTGGCAAACAGCACTCAAGGTGAACCTCTATTATGTGGAACAGGGTGCTCATTGTGTACTCTGCCAGATCCTCCATAACATTCTTGGGGTCAGAGTGGGGGAGTTTGTCTTCCTGCTTTCAGCTGAAATCATATTATCTAATACAGCAAGAACAGAGTGGGGGTCAGAGTGTCTCTGGGATTTTCAAAATTGATGGGAATTGAGACAGAGGGTGTGATCTCATGTCATGTCATGTCAGCATGTGTGTGTGTAAGGAGGACTTGACCTTCTAGCACAGTTATGTTCTGTCTTTGTCATCAGAACTTGAAAATGAATTCTCCATTCTCTCTTTCTCTCACTTTTTGTAGAACTGGTCGGGAATGAAGTGTCAATTTAAGTTATTCCGGATGGCCATGGCTCTGGTGTGCAGTAAGTCTAGATAAATAGTCCTCAGTTCCCTTTAACCTGTCTGGTGATTTATATATATATGTGTGTGTGTGTGTGTGTGTGTACATATATATATATATACATTGTTATTATTATTATTTATTTTATTTTTCTTTTCTTTCTTTTTTTGACAACAAATCCCGTGAAAAGACCAAACAGACAGTCGGGCACTGGGTTAGCAACTGTTATATGAAAAGGAGTAAATAGTGTATTTGTTTGGGACTATTTTCAGTATTTTCAGAGTTGGTGCAGTATTGATTTTTTTCAGTAGTTCTTTGTAGATCAGGTAATTGTTGATTTTATTTTTCTTGTGCAATTTGTTGAAAATAAGAAATAAAGATAAAACATCCTATGTTATTCCATCCAGCAAAGGTTCCATGTTTGAGAAATATGATTTTGCTCCAAAGGCAACAGTTAGTTGAAAATTTACAACTTAACGCATCCTTGACCATAATGGGGTATTGAAAACAGGACCATAATCTCTAGTGGGAACCTCCCCAGTTTTGTTTTATTTTAGACCATTGAGGGACTTCTTTTGTATCTCAACTACAAGACGTGTTTGCTCTTGACCCATATTGTTGAGAGGCGATGTGGAGATGAGCCAAGAATTCCCGATCTTCATAAGAATAAAGAATTGAAAAATATAAATATTAGGGTATTTTAATCAACACAAAACTGTCCTTAGTGGTAGTTGTCCAAGAGCAGTTACATGAGTTTAAAGTTCATTCTGGTCAAGAAGTGAAATAAACAGTCAGCATTTGTCTCAGCTAGATTAAACTCATCGTTGGCGTCATGAACTTCAGTAGAGTATTTGGAAACAGTGGCTCTAATTCTTCTGCCTTCTAGAGAGGACTATTTCATTTTGATATGCTAGTTGTCAAGAACTACATATAATGTATGCCTACAGCTTACTAATGTGTAATTCTCTGCTCACAGTGAGTGTGGAGTTTGGTCGGGCGGTGTGGCTGAGGTTCTACCCTCCGGCCTTTCCTCCGTGCCCCAACCCCAGCTTTGTAGCTCACCTGGGAGGGGTGATGGTAGGTCTGACGCTGGGTGTGGTGGTCCTGCAGAACTACGAGCAGCGACTCCAGGAGCAGTCCCTGTTTTGGATCTTTTTCTGCGTCTACACCTTGTTTGTGCTTTGCGCCGTCTTCTGGAACATTTTTGCCTACAGCTTGCTTGACGTGCGACTGCCTCCGCCACCGTGACTTGTCTATTAAAGGTAGATAAGACACTGTATCCCCTTTACTCCTGCATCAGTAGATGCCTGACCTTTCTCTGGATGGGTCACCTCACCCCTCATATTACGAACTTCACCGTGGGGTGATCAGAGTTGTCTAACAGCCAACCTCCTCTTACATCCAGTGCTCTGATGCAGGGATAGCTGACAACCCTCTTTGCTTGTCTCATCATACATTTTTCAACTCACCTGCTACCTTCTAGGGTCGAGCCTTCCCATCGCTAACCTCCACCTACTCTTTGTCTTCATCTCTGTTGGATGCTTGTGGGACTTTTGTTGACAATAATGTGTTGACAAATGAAAAGCCTTGGATCTAACACAACAGGATCAAGCAGGAATAGTCCTGTTCACATCGCTTAACCTTCTCTGCCTCTTCCTCCTCAATCCAACGGTGCCTACTCATGGAGACATCAGCCTGTGAAAGTATTACTGCACTGTTGCCCCTTGTGTAGGGTGACAGCAGTAAAACCCTGCAGTATAAACTGTTCTCAGACAAAATAAGTTCCTAAAGAACTGCTATCTGCCTGTGCCCTCTTCTTTAGTACACAAAGAATAAGATCATATGAGAATTTAGGCTTAGCTGGTGTTTTGTCACCATTACAATCAGCACGAGTGGTACACATAAAACTGATAAGCAGGGTAGCTAAACCCCTCAAGTTTCACAGTATAGAGAGAGCATAGAATAAATAGGCTACAGCAACCTTCAAAAGTTATTATGAATTTACCTTTGAAGCAAAATGTGGGTTGCTATTCAAGTGTTGCCTTCAGCGTTTGGCACTTCCCCAGAGAAGGATTAATTTGTGTTCAGCGCTATTTGAACCTCAAACTTTTGTCTTTGACATTTTTGTGTGTGTGTTTGCAAGGAGTGCGACAATTGTGACATTGTGTGTACAGATAAAAAAAAAAAAAAAAAAAGAAGCAGAAGTGCCATTCAGACTTTAAGCTTTCAAAAATGATGCCAAAATATTGCTATAAGCACCAGGGGAAGAGCACATCTCCCCGACAAGTATTGCTTTTGTGTAAGAAAAATTTATCTAATTTTGTCTGTAAAGAGTCGGTCGAATGTAACAGTAATTTTTCATGATCTTGATCTGAATTTCTCACAAATAACCTTGGAACAGCCCAGAAGTGCAGTCAAGTTCTTGTCATTCTGTTGTCCCCTTTGGGCATTTGCAGTGATTTTTGCAATGTTTAAAAATTTCAAAGTGACGGAAGTTAATTTATTGATTGGTGAAGAGGTGAATTGAGGAAAGTGGGATTGGAATAATGAAAATATTCACCAATGGGTAAACTGGGCTGCTCTGAATAAATCTAAGTATTTTTCTCATTACCAAACGTAGAAGAGCACACATGCCTGACCTCGACTACATCTGGGCTGGGGTCGTTTCACTCTCAGTTCGAGGGGGGGGGGGCAAATCAATGCTCTCTCATTAGTTGCTGTCACAACTTAAATTGTTAACTGATTGAACTGGGATAGAAAACGACCTCAGCCCTAAGCTGTGAGTCTCAAACTGTACTGTACTTTAACCTCATGTTACAGTGGTAACTGCTTCGCACAAACGTTATTATAATGTAATTAAATACAAATTAATATTTTAACATGCATTTGCTGTTGATTTTATTTTTACTTGGTGATATTGGTATGTTGTGTAAATTGTTTGGTTGGTCTGCATTGTGATATATTAGCTATATCCTGTATGTATCCTATTTAAAAAAATTGGTTATGAAGATGGTCTGGGATTGTACATAACAAGGGCTATGATACAAAACTGAGTGAGGGGTAAATCACTGACAATATTTTAACATTGTGCATATTTTGTAGATTTGATATGTACATACTGGAGTACATTAAACAGTTTTATACAGAAACAAAATATGATTTCTTTGGATTTAATGAATCTGACTGTCCTCTAGGTTTACTGGTAATCTTTTACATGATTTAGCTGCTTAGCAAAAAGAAAATAGAGAGAGAGAAATAGAAGTGTGTCAAGTTTGTTTGTCATATTTCTTGCATGGATGTGTGTATGGACATACGTGCATGTCTCTGTATGTGAATGAAGGTTTTTAATCATTTAAACACAAGTCATTGTGCCAAATAACCTTATTGTGACCTTACATCAAGTCACACATGCCCACACACACACACAAATGCCAGTTTTATTCAATATCCAGGGACAGGAATTACCTCCCATTCTACAAAGAAATGTGATCAAACTAAGCAGGTCTGAAGCCTTGAAACCAGATTAGCTTTAACCCAGTGTTAAGCGAGAGCTCAGGGCCCCAGAGTCGAGAGCCAGGTTTAAGAGCCTTTGTGAAAAAAAACACGTCAAAGTGATCAATGAAATGTGTGAGCATACAAGAATCAGCCATAATTCATTCAGAGAAGGGACCCCTTAAGCTGCCACTGAACGTCTTCTCTGTCTAGCCGTTGAAACCATATGGAGAGTAGCGATTTTAAAGCCGTAGAATGAAAAATTCATTAGGCAGCCAAGGAAAGCCGCTTCGAATCTCCAGTTTCAGAGGTAATCATTCACCTTGGTGAGGAAGAGGAGACAAGAGAATCCGCAAGGAAGGAAAATCAGTCTGAATGCATTTGTAGTGTCTCTGCATTTATGCTGCCTGCTGAGAGCAGCACTTGTTACAATTTGGTCCTGTTTTAATATGCATTTCACACCTTTTTCGCTACAGACAAGTACAGAGACTAAAGCTGACAGTTAGTACTGTCTGATGAATAATTATTGCCAATGTTTCCAACAAGAACATACCGACTGTTTTAATACAGTCATAATGATCAGTGGTGGAAGAAGTAGGCTTCTCAGATCTTTTACTTAAATCAAAGTAATACCACCATGTTGAAACAATCTGTTACAAGTCATGCATTTCAAATATTATTTCAGTAATCTTACCTAAGTATTGGTGTTAAGATGCACTTAAAATGGTTATTATGCATTTTCTGAATAATATATATTATTGGATTATGATTATTAAATGCATTCATGTATAAACATCAACTTTCATATTGCAGCTGGCAAGAGTGTGGCTAATTTGAATTACTTTATATACTTATGGATAGCTTAATTTATAATGATACGTCATAATTTATTTGTTGATTATATTTTGTATTATTAATGCAAAGTAAGTAGTAAAGCTGTGAAATAAATGTGTTGGAGTAAAAATTACAATAATTGCCTCTGTTTTGTCATGGAATAATAATATAAACAGCAATTTAAAAGTATTAGTATTTAGCTATTTTAGCCCCTTTATTATCGTCAGCCTCATATCTTGTATCTCTACCATTAATTTTGTTGGGTGCTAAAGCTTGCCCCTTGTTGGTATTTCAGCTCATCTCAGAGGTGCTGAATGAGGTTGCGGTCAGGGCTCTGTGCAGGTCAATCAGTTCCTCCGCAGCAAAATTGTAAAACCATTTATTTAGGGACCCCACTTTGTTCAAACGTTGTCACTCTCAAAGGGTGTTCCCCAAACTGTCACCTTAGAGTTTGATGCACGCCTTGAATGCTGAAGCAAGAAGATTTATATAACTCGAATGCAGAGGATTCAAGATCATTCAAAAAACATTGATGGACTCTGTGTTTACAGGTTGTTTGTCATATGTAATATTGAACAGAATACAGTCTCTCAAAATCAGAGATTGAATACCAATCCATGATGCCATGGCAGGGGATTGTTTTCTCTTTCTGCAACGTTGTCTCCATCAAGCGGACAATAAATGAACGACAAGTTGCAGAGGTGTGAGAAGTTGTCGCCTACTGTCACTGGACTCAAATTCAGTGTCTTCAGGTCTAGAATAGAGATAGATATCTGAAAGAAATTACTCCAGCATTTAATCCGGCCACAGTGATGCGTCACGGTTTTGTCATCCTCTCCTTTTACAATAATCAATATACTTCAAGGAACGAACTGAGTGAAGCAGACTTCTACATATCGGTACCTTTAGACTGTGAGAAAATCCTTTTTATCATTATAATATCACGAAACCTTAGTGAGGAAACCCGCCTTGGACTCTTTTATAAGAAATAAAAACAAATTTATCTGGTTTCAGCTTCTCAAATGTAAATATTTTCTGGCTTCTGTAGTCTCTTTAATGATGTAAACAACATGTTTGAACTATTAATCGGTTAAAACAATGCACCTGAAGATGTAACCCAGGGCTTCTGGAAATTAGGAGGAACATTTTTCTAAATTTTCCTACATATTATTGACCAAACGACAAAGTGGTAGATGGAGAAATAATCGACAAATATAGTGATAATAAAAATAAACGTGAGTTGTTATTTTGACCCTGATCATTGGTGTACAAAATGATAATATTTTGATAATTGATGTCAGTCTTCCAAACCCAAGCGTGTTTATAACCTCCCGTGTTTTCTGTCAACGCGAGACTTCACCGTTAGTCTCAAACTTCCTCCACCGAAGCGCCATTTTCGGCGTTGTCACGGGACTACAGCATGCTGTCATCAAACAGATAATAAGACCAGTGTTTACCGTTTCAAGACCTCTTTCTCAGTATTCCTTAAACATGGGACGGAAAAAGAAGAAGCAGATGAAGCCATGGTGTTGGTATCCTTTTCGCTGGATGAGAAAATACAGACGTAGAAATGCCAGACGCTACACGTTAGCTTGACAAAAGGAAGGCCTAAGCTAGCCTGCCCGAGTGTTTTCGGTTTGTAAGCCAACGTTAGTTGAACTATTTCTAGTTTATATAGCTTTTTCCAGCCTACACTCAATGACTGTAAAATGTTGGGCGACGGATGCATTTGCACGGTTGTGGAAAGCGTTAAATTGATGGTAATATTAAGGAAACTAAGGCTTACCTCCGATGTTAGCTAATCTGTTAGCCGTACATTGAAGATTCAGGGTAGCATCTGTGTTTCAAGCTTTAAGGCCGATATAATGTAGTCTGAAACAAGGCAGCAACTAACGATTGTTTTCATTATCGATTTATCTGTCGATTATGTTCAAGAGTAATCATTTGGTCTGTATATCGACAGAATTGTGTGAAAAACGCCTGCCACAAGTTGCCAGCCCCATTAACAGACCAAACCCCCATAGATTATAAGGATATTTTTGACATAAAATAAAAATATTCAGATGTATTTTCTCTCGATCTACCAAGCCAGTTAGCTAATCGTTTCAGTCCACTCTGACACTTTGTTTTAAACAAACTTGTGAAACCTTATAATTTAAACTGCCCGGTCCTTTATTGTAAATAGGGATTACGTCTCGGAGCATTGGGACTTTATTTAAAGCTTGTGTGTGATTCACTCCCTTGATGAACTTGGGTGTTGCATGGTGTGTTATGCTCATGTTTCCAGTCTTCGAACATGATCCTGAACTCCTTCCTCAAGGTACTGCAACCGAGACTTTGATGATGAAAAGATCCTCATTCAGCATCAGAAGGCAAAACATTTTAAATGCCATATTTGCCACAAGAAGTTGTACACCGGCCCAGGCTTGGCCATTCACTGCATGCAGGTTGGTGCCTCGCCCTTGTCATTTATCCTGTTTTAGCGTCTTTCATTCCATGTTTCCTGGAACATTTTGGTCAAATAGGGCTGTTGGCTGTCCTCATAAAGTAGATAATGAATGAACTGTGCTTGTTATTGTACTATGCTCTGACTCACTTTGCATGTGTTTCAGGTACACAAAGAGACGATTGACAGTGTACCAAATGCAATTCCTGGAAGAACAGACATCGAGCTGGAAATCTATGGCATGGAGGGTATTCCAGAGAAAGACATGCAGGAAAGAAGACGAACATTAGAACAGAAATCACAAGGTTTGTACACCTGCACAGTGATTGTATTTCTGTGGATTAAAGTTTAGATAAAACAACATAAATAAAACAAACATCATCATCCTTTGTAGAACCTCAATCAATTCACATTTAATACAAGTGAAAGCATGTATGTGTATTACTGTTCTGTTTTCAGAGAGCCAAAAGAAGAAAAACAATCAGGATGATTCTGATGAGGACGATGATGACGATGAAGCAGGACCATCAGCTCAGCAGGTAGCTGCTGTCCAGCCCCAAGCAGGCTACGTTGCTCCAATGGCCCAGCCTGGGATGCCTCCTGTGGCTGGTGCACCTGGGATGCCTCCTGGAGGATATCAAGGCAAGGATGCGTTACAGTGCGATAAGACTTGCATTGATACCTTTTAAGTGCCGTGTTATGGTGGATCTCTGTGGCAATGCTTTTTTTTTTTTACACCAAGGGATGTGTTAGTGAAAGGTATTGAATACAAATGTTTGATTTGTGATCCCTTGTGACTTTTTTCAAATTTAACACTCAATGTTTATGGCTTGAGACCTGCAGACCTTTGACTTAGTATCACACTGATAATGAGGTGGTTAAGTTGTCAGATATAGGTTTTCAGTTTTTCTTTTTTTGGAGTTAGAATCTATATTAATTTATAACAACGTCATATTTAAATCCCTCCCACTATTCTCTACATTTTTTTTATGTTGTCCTCGTCATATATCTACATTAATTTATTAATGGTTTAACTGTTTAGTCCTCATACAATATATAATAGATTCAAACACACAATGCCAGCAGATTCAGAACTGCAGTCTAATAAAAATGTTACAAAGTTGTGTGAAAGTAGCTGATACAGCAACCAATACAGCAGGGAAAAGTTGGAAGAGTGTGGTGGTATTATTGCATATGTATTCTTTTTTTGCCGAGGGATGTAGCTTCTCTTGTGGAGTGATGAAGTGTTGAATTATTAGTAAACAGAAAATGTCATGTCTACAGGAATGCCTCCCATGATGCCAGGCGTTCCTCCCATGATGCATGGCATGCCTCCTGCTATGCATGGAATGCCACCAGGGTAAGAGCTCCCTCATTAACTCTGGGATTAATGATAGCTTTTGGCCATTTGGGTTTATTGGTCATGCTCATACAACAAGTTCTTGGTTTTGGCGTATAACAGAGATTTTATTATAGTTATTAGCCAAATCACTCATTTTTTTTCTTTGACTTTTTTAGGATGATGCCAATGGGAGGGATGATGCCTCCCATGATGCCAGGGATGCCTGGTATTCCTCCGGGTGAGTTTTGTCTACACATAAGAACATAGATCCCTGTTATATTGAATTTAACCCCATCTATCCGTCTTTTTTCGACTATGATCATGCCTGAAAGTGTAACTCACATTGCTTACTTTTATACACTGTTTGGCACAGCAGATTTAGCTAAACTTGATGGTGTGTTAAAACCCTGAGAGCCATAGCAGTTTACAAAATAGTTGATTCAAATGAAAGATTTATTAAGAAGTGAAGGCAAGTCTTACCTTATTCTGCACTCCTTTTTTTCTATTTTAGCTTTTTCTTTAGATGTTGTCAATGTGTTGATGGAATAATGTTAACTGGAGGTGTCTGGGTAATCCCTCAGGAATGCCACCCCACCTGGCTCCACGGCCAGGGATGCCCCACATGGCCCCTGCCCCCGCAGCAGGGGCGATACCCAGTCGACAGGCAGCACCAGCAGCCCAGCCCACAGTCACCAAACCTCTCTTCCCCAGTGCAGCACAGGTGGGCACTGTGTAACCCCCCCCACAACTTGCACTCTCTCTTTTCAGGAATAGTCAGAATATAAACACAATCTTTTTTCTAGTCAGGGTAGAAAATTGCGTCCTTTTTTGTAATAAAACTTTAGTATGGTTTTATATAAATGCGTCATTCAGGAATATTTTGAACATTTTATTTCCCAGCTACTCAGTTAATTTCTGATGTCCCGTTTAATCTTTCTCTAGAGTCTGCTGTTCCTTTATTTCTAACTTTCTCATTCCCACTTCATTTTTTTTTTTAATCAGTGTCACTAATATGTAGAATATTTTGTTCTCATAATTGAGTTTAATAGATTTTTTTGGACATGTTACATGCCAATGCTGTGATCTCCTTTCCACCATGCTGCAGATGGGCTCTGGTGTTCACAGCAGCACAGCAGCTGTTTCTTCTGCTCCTGCAGACCTTCAGTCTGCTTCTTCCCAGCCTCCCTTTCCTAACACGCCACAAGTATGCTCACAGACAGGACTTTGACTTGGACTGTGGCAGCTGCATG